TGGAGCCCAGACTGGGTTCCCTGGCCAGGCAGCCTTAAGCTCAGCAGGGTTTGCACCTCACTCAGTGAAGGATTGACCTCACTGCCTCATTGGGGTGTCCTCGGGGGTCTGGGGACTGTGCTGAGCCTCACATGGCTGAGACTCTTCAATGGTTTAAGGTCAGTCCATGAGGCTGGAAGAAGCCCTGCAGGAGGCAAACAGAGTTCTGGAGTACAGGTGAGGGATGGTGTGCTCAGAGACACCCCAAACCAGCAGAAGAGACAATCACACTGCAGCAAAGCGTGTCTCCCAGCCTCTGAATCAGCACCGGATTTGGGAAGGGCCATCCACACCGGAATGGTGAGGGCTGGAAATCTCCTCTCCTCTCTCATTTAGCAGCACGAGGCACAACAACAGGCACATTAATAGGCAGATTGATGCTGACGTGAAATGGCAGAAGAGCCCATCTATGCAGAGCTGGAAATGTCCATTCACACATGCACGCTCTTCACCGCCCCGGGCAACGGAGCGCTGCTGTCACGGTCTGGGGGGCTCTGCACAGAAACCAGAGATTTTAACTGGCTCTGATCTTCAGGAGATGCCCTGAGGACTACTGATGGAAGGCGGAGGCTGCGCTGTGATGGCTGAGATTTGACAGGGCAGAGCCATGCAAAACAATGAAAAGGAAAAGGGGACTTGGAGATCCAACGGCGTTACAAATTCACCTGCCTCGCTCTGGCAGGATTTGCTGTTCTGCAGAGAGCTGAGCCGGGCAGGAGAGACTGGCTCTGTCTGCCCGGATTTGCTGCTCCTCTCCTGGCCTGGGCTCCATGCACGCACACACACCAAGCCAGTGGGAATGGGAAGGAGGGATCCTGCAGGAGGAAGAGGCTGAGGAGGAGCCGTGGCTGTGCTCTGCATGGAGGGAGTGGTGGCTGTGCGTGTGGCAGGGCTGTGAATCATCGGTGGCGCGCGTGGGTGCAGGCGGCTCCCAATGCCAGGGTGGCACCCTGCCCTGTCACCCAGCCTTGTTGGTGTCACCCTGGCTGTGCTGGGCACGGAGAACTGACCCTCACCATGGGGCCTCTGGCAGCACTGGGTTAATCCCCCAATGTGACCGTGTTCACAGGGGTACCAGGATGAGGGAAGAGACGAGAATGTTGGCTCCATATTTCAGAAGTCTTGATTTATTATTTTATGATATATGTTATATTAAAACTATGCTAAAAGAATAAAAAAAAAGATTTCATCAGAGGGCTGGCTAAGAATAGAAAAAGAAAGAATGAAAAACAAAGGCTTCTGTCTCAGACAGAGAGTCCAAGCCAGCTGACTGTGACTGGCCATTAATTAGAAACAACCACATGAGACCAATCCCAGATGCACCTGTTGCATTCCACAGCAGCAGATAACCATTGATTGCATTCTGTTCCTGAGGCTTCTCAGCTTATCAGGAGGAAAAATCCTAAGGAAAGGATTTTTCATAAAACGTGTCTGTGACACCCCAGCCCACTCCCATCCACATCCTCCCAGAGAACAGCAAACTCCGTGTATTTCCTCACTCTGCGGCCACTTCCTGCCCCCTGAGCCTCTCACAAATTCCTGCTGCCTCCTCCTGCCACCGGCTTTTCTATGGGGGTAGGGATGGTGAGAACATATCTGGTGTCCCCCAAAAAGCAGCAGGCTGAGCTGGCATGAGAGGGAAGGCGAGTTCTGGACGCTGTTGCTCAGCTCCGGTGCTGCTCCGCCTCTCTCCATTTTTCACCGGATCTCGCAGTTTTAACAGGAAACCCCCTTGTTTTGGCTGAGTCACAGGCATTGCCACTGCCCGTGCTGACTCCAAACTTTGTGTTACCAGTGGGGAGCAACCAAGGAAAGATCTGGGCTGTGGGACGTGGCAGCTGCTGTTTTCCTCTCCGTTCCTGTGCCAAGGCACAGCTGGAGTCACCATGAGGCAAGCAGAGCGGCAAACCCTCGGCAGCGCTCGCTCTTCTCACTTTATTTCAGCTTCAGGAAGAGGTGGGTGGGCCAGCTTGGAGCAACCCAAAAAACCTGTGGCTCTTTGCAAGGCATATGCTCCCTTGGAGGCGAGCTGGGTTGGTTTGCGCTGCGCGGCGCCGTGTTTGCCTTGGGAGCAGGGACACTGCCAACCCTGGCGGCTCACTCGTGCAGAGATAAGGCTGAGCGCAGGCAAGTGTGTGAATTCTAGGAACTGAGATGGAAAAACAAAGAGCATATGTGTGCTGCGTGCTTGGCTCGGCCCAGCAGCGAACTCTGCCGCGCTGCGTGCGAGGAGCCAAACGCTGAGCAAAAGCTTTGTGGGGTGTGTGTGTGTGTATGGCTGGGCAGGGCCCAGTGCCACGTGGAGGGGCTCAGGGCAGGAAATAACACAAAATTCCCCGAGTGTGTTCTTTATGGAATGCTCCAGCAGTGAGCAAACATCAGCAAAACAGAAAAAATCTGGTGAATTATTTGTTTGAGAAATATGGGAGCCAATTAATATCGATCCCAGCACGAGAGCTGGGTCGCAGCCCTTGTGCACACACAGAGGCCTCGTGGGGTAAAGTGGCTGAATTTGCAGCTTCCAACGCAAGAAAAGGGGCTTGTGCAGCTCGCAGTGACTGTGTCACCAGCTGTGGGCTCTTTGTGTGCGTTTCTAAGAGCTGGTAATTACCCCGAAATCTGCATCTCAGCAAACGAGGGCGTTTGTCTGCCCGGCAGCTGCAGCAGAGGGGGATGAAACCCTGCAGTGTTCGGGTTAACACTTCGCCTCCAGAATGCAAACCGTGGGAGGGAGGGAGGGACGGGAGTTACCCTGGGATGCCGCTGGCTGTGGTGAGCAAGGCGGGGTCTGGGACGGTCGGTGGGGCTCCCACCTCTGTGGGTGCGATGGGAGCTGCTGGGGCCGGCTCTGGTGGGCACTGCTGGGGCCGGCTCTGGTGGGCATTGCTGTGCCAGTCCCGGGAATGTGGAGCACAAACTGTGGAAAGGGGCCGGAGCTGCCTCCTCTGTGGGTGCGATGGGAGCTGCTGGGCCAGCCCTGGTGGGCATTGCTGTGCTTGTCTGGGAGTGTGGAGCACAAACTGCGGGAAGGGGCCATGGCAGGGTCTGGGGGTTGGAGCTTGCAGCGGAATCAGGTCAGGCTCCGCAGGGGCTGCTGGAGAGCGGCTCTCTGCCTCGTCAGCGAGCGAGCTGAATTCCTGCCATGTCCAGGGCCCCTTCCTTATCGGCACTAATCCAGCGCGGCAGCTGCGGTGGCTCCGGAGCGCTCGGCGCTCCCGATAACCTCCCTGGCAGCCCCGAGCCCTCTCCATGGCCCAGACCATGTATGGGCACCCAGCCTGGCACAGGGCACGGGGTGAGCGCCTGGCACCGCTGACACGGCATGGGGAGCTGCGGGGACACTGACAGGGCCAGCCTGGCACCACGCGCTCTGAGGGGCTGCATCGGCCCAGCCCTCCACTGCCAGGTGTTCCCTCTGCAGAAAACCGGGTCTGCAGTGCAGGACGGGGAGCAGCTCCCCGCTGTCCCCTGGCTGTCCCCGGATGTCCCCTGGGGGACAGGAGCGATGCTGCAGCCGGCCGTGGGTAGCGATGCCCTCCTGGGCACAGCAGCGCTGCCCCGACAGTGAAGGTGCCCATCCCAAGGGTGTCATCTTGGTTTTTTAAGATTTTCTGTCATCTGATGTTGACATTCTGGTAGTGAGCTTTCTCACACACTTTCTGTAAATAACTCATTGTTTTGCATTCCTTTATAGAAGAGGAGAAAGTTGATGGACTGTTGGTTTGACCAGTGTCATTGGAGAGGTGGCACTGCCATCCTCCAATCCGCTGTCACTTTTGGAAAATTATTAATGTTAGAGTCAGAAAATAAACTTCCCTTTTCTCTTCACCTTGAGAACAGCGATGTGCACTTGTGTTCTTTCATGACCTATAGTGACACAAGGGCAGCTGGGGTCGTGTCCCCCTACCCGAGCTGGCCCAGAGCGTCACAGCCCTGCCACAGCATCCTCAGAGCCGGGGGAACCGTCCGAGCTCCGGCCGGGTGTCCCCAGTGAAGGGACAGGGACAGGAGGGGACACCGAGGTTATTTCTGGCCTCTCCTTGGTGCTGCAGGGAGCCCGGAGGGCAAGCGAGTCTTTGAGCTCAGTCCCAGCAGGGCCACTGGCCTCATTGCCGGTGTAATTGCTCTGCTAATTGGGACAGATCATCACCAGGGGCCGGGTCGGGGGCTCATGGCCAGGTGCTGTGCCGAGAGGAGCCCTGGGATGCTCAAAACCAATGAAGTTTTAAGAGCAGATGTAGGAAGAGCGAACTAAAATTGTTCTTCTTGCCTCTTCTTCCGTGGCGTCCCTTAAATCTTCTCGAGAAAGTTTTTAATTGAAACGAAAACCACATTAAAAAAATAATAATCCCAAGTGTGAATGGAGTCTGTCCCAGTTTAGAGGCTGGAAATATTCAGCAAACTGGTTAAGTGATGCCAACTTCTTCCTAAGACAGCGGGATTGAGGCTTGATGTTTTAGCAAACTAGGGTAACTGTAAATCCAGCCTCTTTTTTATTATTTTTGTCTCTGTGGAGGTTTAGGTTGAATATTAGGAAAAGGTTCTTCCCCCAGAGGGTGCTGGCACTGCCCAGGCTCCCCAGGGAATGGGCACAGCGGCTGCCAGAGCTCCAGGAGCATTTGGACAGTGCTCCAGGGATGCCCAGGGTGGGATTGTTGGGCTCTTGGCCCCATTGCCTGCAGAACAAACTCGAGACTGCACTGAGATTTGTGCCAAGTGGAGACGGTCGAAAATGCATCCAAAAAAAGTCTGTGTGGCTGCTGAACCCCTTTCCTTTCTGCCTTTGAGCTGCTGGGCTGGGCACAGCGATGGCACCGGGTGCCCTGGGTGTTTGCCAGGACCAGCCTGGCTCTACCCATGGCATGGGCTGGCCTTGGGCTGCCTGCAGCCTCCCCCGTGCTCCCTGGCCTTGTCCCAGTGCTGACAGTCTCTCTCCCCTCTCCCCTCTCCCCTCTCTCCAGCAGCCATGGAGGCCGTGCTCATCTTCCTGTGCTCCCTGCTGGTGCCCGCAGCCCTGGCAGACGGTGAGTGCCCGTGCTGCCCCCACACAGCTCAGGAACGGGCTGGGGAACCTGGAACAGCCTCCACACGGACCCAAGGGGCTGGAGGGGATGTGGGGCAGCAGCCATGAGAGCCCAGAGCCCCAGGGTTTGTGGGGAGCTGGCAGAGCTCACCAGGGGCTCCCTCACCTCACACCCCATTCTGCTCGTTCGCAGTGGCCACCCAGGAGAAGGAGGAGGAGGATCCCTTTAACTATGGTGAGTGAGCGTGGCTGAGTGTGTGGGGGTGCCGTGGGCAGCAGGGAGCTGTCCCTGCCCTGGAGCCAGCAGCAATGAGCCCTGTGTGTCCCCCCTCCCAGATTACCAGAGCCTGAGGATCGGGGGGCTGGTGTTCGCTGTGGTCCTGTTCACCGTGGGCATTCTCCTCATCCTCAGTGAGTTGGGGATGTGCTGGGTGCTGGGCTGGCAGGTGGGGCTGCGGGGCTGTTCCCGTGGTGGGAAAGGCCCCATCCCATTCCCCCTTGGGCCACGCTCACATTGCTTCTCTCCCCTTGCAGGCAGGAGGTGCAGGTGCAGTTTCAAGCAGAAGCCCAGGTGAGTGGTGGGGAGCATCTCCCTTGGAAAGCCCCTCTGGATCCTCCTGGGCTCCTTCTCACAGCTGGCACAGCGGCTGCACTCTCTGGGTGTCCCTTTGGGGTTCCCCAAACTGGGGGAGCAGCTCTGCCTGCTGCCCCTGCACCTTCCTGGCCACCCCAGCCCCATCAGACCCCAGCTCTGCCCTCACCATGCTCCTCTCCTTGCAGGGCTCCAGGGGACGAGGAGGCTCAGGCAGAGACCCTGATCACCTCGAATGGTAAGGTCACTGTCCTGTGGTCCCTGGGCCACCCCCCCTGCCACAGCCCCCTCCCAATGCTGGGCAGGCACCACAATCCTCTCTGCTCTTGCCTTTGCAGCAACAGCGGCACCGAAGGCAGAGAACTGAGCAGGAGCCATTGCTGTGAGTCCAGGCCAGGATGGGAGGGAGAATCAGGATGGGAGGGACAGCTGGGGCTGCCTGTGGGGATGGCTGCTCTGAGCACAGCAGTGGGACTGGGCAGCTCTGCATCCCTGGGATGGGCTGGGGGCGAGCACTGGTGGGGTCCACAGCAGGGAAACTTAGCACTGGTGAGGGCCTGAGTGTCCACAGGCAGCCCAGCAGGAAAAGGAAGCATCTGTCCGGATTTTCCCTTGTGTTACACTTCCTTTTCTGCTGCTCCTCCACCCCTCAGCGGTTTTGGTGTTAGGGTGTTGGCAGCAGGGTGGGGATAGCCTGGCCATGGTAGCAATGGGTTAAAGCCTGACCCCAGCCCTGCTCCCCACGCAGAGCCAGAGACCCCAGGAGGGACACCCAGAGCGCAGATGCCCGCAGCCTGTGAGGAGACTGAAACCCCAGCTGCAGGAACCTCTCAGGAGCCGCGGGGCTGCCGTGTCCGTGTCCCCTCTATGCTCCAGCACCGGTTCTCTGTCCCTAACCCCACTGAACTCTGCTCACCGTCCTCTCTGCCTCCCGTGGTGTGCCACGTTGCTGTGAGATGATCCTTACCTCTAGGGCTCGTTGTTGCTGGTGTTGTAATCGTGACTTTCTCCTCACCCTCCTCGTGCTGTGTGTGTGGTTTGGGCTCTGTAGGACTGGCAGGTCGCTGCCCTTTGGGGTGCCCCCCACGCCTGGGGACAGGGGCTGTGGGTCAGCAGCACAGCCCCCCTGGCTTTGGGCAGGGCTTGGGGACCTGCAGTGCCCTGGGGAGCTGCCCAGCCATTTCAGGGCCACCCGTCCCCATTTCAGCAATAACCCCCTGCATGCCCCAGCCTAAAACAGCCATGGTGGGGGGTGGGCCAGGCAGGGACCTCCCATGGCTCAGCCCTCCTCGCTGTGGTCACTGGGGTGCTGGATTCAGGGCTGAAGGGAGCTCTCCTGCTGGGCACTCCCTGCCAAGGAGTTGTTTCTGTCCCTGTTAGACCTGTGTTACACTGCTTTAAGTGTGGGGGCAGCGGAGCCCATGAGGTCCCCAGCACGGTGACACCGTGGGTGAGGGCAGCGGCACAGCAGTGACCTCCCTGACCAGCACACACCAACTCCTGCCCGTGAGCCAGAGCTGGGTGGGTGGCACAGTCTGGGAGCTGAAGGGAACCAGAGATCCTGTCTGTGCTTGTCTGTGGCACAGAAGGGGCAGGGGCGTCTCCTCCTGGTGCTCCTGCCCCTGCTGGCGCCTTGTCACCCCCTGTGCCACCCGTGTCAGTGCTGTGTGTTGTCCCGTGGTGGTTTCATGTCACCCCCTGTGCCAGCTGTCCCCTCTCCCCATGGAGCAGCAGCGAGTGGCACTGAGAGATCCTCGGGGCTTTTGCACACCTGAGCTTGCACTGTGACAACGTGCTGAGCCCGGAGGTCATTGTCACCCTGTGTCCTCTCATGGGCCAGAGGCAAAGCTGTGATTTTTGGCTCCTCCGCTCATCCATGGGCAGGTAAAGCCTCGGCTGGGGCTGGGCACTGCCAGCTTGGGTGGGGCAGCACTGGGGGGTCCCCAGGGCTTCTCTGAAACCCCTCAGGGTGCCATCCCCACACCGGGAAGGGGATCCTGTCCCCCAGGACGGTTTTGAGAGGAGTTTCTGCTGTGTCCATCCCACTGTGGCGGCCTGCCTCCAGCGTGCTCTGTGTCCCTGCATGCTCGGCATCACTCGGTGGCACCGGGAAGCCCTGTCCCATCTGTGCCAGGCAGAGGGGCCGTGTCTCTCGTGTTGTGTCCCTTCCCTCTGTCCTGGCTGTTGCAGAGAGCTCCATGCAGGGCAGAGCCCAGCCCGGCCCCCGAGTGCCACGGTGTGTGTCCCGGTGCTGTCCCTAGTGTGCCGTCGGTGTTACCACGAAACAAAGAGCTCCCTGTGGTGTGTGAAATGGCCAAACCCTGACTGTTGTAAAATAAACTGAGCTATTGTGTCTCCTTTTAAATAGGCGAGTGTGCTGCTGTGCTGGAGGGCTGGTGTGCTCTGTGCTGTGACCTAAGGGGGAAGGAATAAAATATCGTTTCTATCGGTGCCTGCCTGCCTTGTCTCGGGGGCCGCGGCGTTCCCAGGGCAGCCTGGCAGCTTCCCACGCCGTGCCAGGGTCAGGGGAGCGGGGACAGCACCCTGGGCAGCACAGCCGGGCTTTGTGCCGGCCGAGCCCCCTCCTGCTCCCTCTGCAGCTCAGTGAGAGCCGGAGCCCGTGGGAAGGGAGCGCGGGGCCGCTGCCGCGGCCGCTTTTGTCCCTCGGTTTTTGGGAGCGGCAGTGTCACGGTGCTGGGGGCGCGGCCGCAGACACTTTTGTTTCTCGGTTTTTGGGAGCCGCCGTGTCTGGCTGCTGGGGGAGCGGCCGCGGACACTTTTGTCGCTCGGTGTTTTGGGAACAGCTGTGTCACGGTACCTGGAGGCGCGGCCACGGGCACTTTTGTCCCTGGGTTTTTGGGAGCCGCTGTGTCGCGCTGCTGGCGCGCCGCTCCGGCGGATGCTGAGCGCTGCCAGGGCGCGGTGACAGCGGAGCCGCTGTGACGGCCCCACCTGGGCCAGCACCCTCCTGGGGCTTGGCTGCGCCCCGTGGCACCGGGGCCGGGCTGCCGGGGGCTCCGGGGCTGTGCCAGCCCTGCCGAGGGGAGCGAGCGTCCCTCGGGGCCGGCTCCCAGCCCCGGCCGGGTTAATCGGTTCGAGCGCGTGATTGCCGCTCGCTGATGGCGAGATTAGAGCAAACTGGATTGCACAGCCCTGCTGGCAGCTGGCCACGCCGGGCCCGGGGCTGGCACCGCCCGGGGAGGGGCGCGGCATCCCGGTGCCCCCCGCCCGCAGGGATGCGCGGTGCCGCCGGGCCCGGAGGGCGCGGAGCTGGCACGGAGGGGTTGGCCCGGCCAAGGGGGCACACCCTCGGTGCCAGGCTGGCAGGACGGGCCGTGCTGCCCGCTCCTCTCCAGCAAAAGGCGGTCGCAGCCTGTGTGTGAGCCCATCCTCGGCCGGTCACCGCGGCGGGAGGTGAAGCCCAGCAGGGCGGACAATGGGAACGGGAGGGAGCGCCGCGACAAGGACGCGCAGCTCGGGGTGCCCAGCCCTGCCCACGGCTGGCACGGTGGGCGCTGCCCCTGCCCTGCCCTCCCTCTTTCCCAAAGGCGGGCGGGAGCCCTGTGCCTCCCCTCGTGACTGCGATAAACATTACACCGAGGCCATTAATGTTTAATGAGGTTTGTCTCCCAATTAATGCGCGCTCCCGTGGGTGCCCACTCTCAGAGCGAGGCGCCCGCCGGAGCGACGACACGCCGAGGCCATGGGTGACGGTAAGGACAGTAAGGGACACCTCCCTGCGACAGCAGCGCCTGTCCCTCCCACCACGGGGGAAGCTCTCGGTGAGGATTTGGGGTGGGCACACGCGGGGTTGGATCCTCAGAGCTCCGCATCGGTGCCAGCCGGAGTCTGGCTTCTCCTGGGCGTGATTTCTCCTTCCGAGCTGCTCCCGGCACAGGGCTGAGCTGTCAGGTAAGGCGGCTGGAGCGGTGACACGGTGACGAGCTCCGTGACACTGACAGGGGTTGTTGGGGTGCGTCTGGTGCGAGGTGTGAGCTCCAGAGTTGTTCAGTGTGTGCTCTGAGGGGACAGAGCCGCTTTGGAGTCCTGCAGGCAGTGGCACTTCCCGAGGGGGCACTGGGTCCTGCCTGCAGCTGCACCTGGAGCTCGAAGGCTCCCGAGCATCCTGCAAGTGCAGCTTGAAGTGCATGCCGTGAATTTGCCCAGGATCCTGCAATTTGTCCAATATCCTGCAAGTGCAGCCTGCAGTGCATGCCGTGAATTTACCCAGGACAAACATCCTCCAAATGCAGCCTGCAGTGCATGCCGTGAATTTGCCAAGGATGTTGAAGCTCCCGGGGTGAGACCCAGGAGTTTCCTGGCTCAGCTGCGTGCCAAGGAGGCCACAGCGCTGTCACTTGCTGGTCCTGCTCTCTCCCACTCCGCACTGTGGAGACGTGGCTCTCACTGGAGTTTCTCCTCTTTTCAGAGCAAGTGCCTGAGCAGGGCCAGGACAGGTTCAGCTACGGTGAGTGTGTGCCCGGGGCTGGGCAGGGGGAAGGCAGCCCCTGATAGCCTGCATTGGGCTCTGCGAGAGCCTGGGGCTGGCCTGACACCTCCTGGCCGTGCTCCTCCCCAGACTATGACACCATCCGCAACGGGGGGCTCATCTTCGCCGTCGTGGCTTTTGTCATCGGGCTCCTCATCATCCTCAGTAAGTGCCTGGGTGGGCCGGACACCCCTGGGCCCTGCTCCTGCCTCTGCTCCTGCTGCACTCAGCCCCTGCTCTGGCCGGGAAGGGACTGGGGGGCACCAACCCTGCCCACAGCAGCAGGGGTGGGCACAGCCTGCCCTCGGGGCTGCCTGGGAACTTTCCATCCAGGCACGCTCCCAGCTCAGGGCGAGTTGGGAGGGAGACCACGTAAATATTTTGTGTTTCCCTGCCAGCGCCCGGGCTTCAGAGGGAAGGTCACTCATTAAAAATAGCAGAGAAAACTCTGACATTTCCAGAGAGGGGGGCCAGCATTCCCAGAGCCCTCCAACCTCGGCAGCTCCCAGACTGACCCAATGTCAGCACTGTGGCCCTGCCAGGGTGTTCTGGCACCGCTCTGTGCAGGGTGGCCGTGGCCACAGCTGCTGCAAGGATAGTGATCACTAATTTTAGGGAAAAAAAAACATGGAAAGCAGCAGCACTTGCAGTCATGGGCCAGCTGGAGCCTGTGGGCAGTGCCAGGGCTGCAGGGTGGCTGGGATGGGTGGGGGGAGGCTCAGCCTCAGTCGCTCCTCTCGCCCCCAGGCCAGCGGTTCCACTGCGGAGGGAGGAAGAAGAGGAGGTGGGTGTTGGGTTTTCATCTCTGCTGCCTGCTCCAGTCCTGCCAGCTGACAGGGCAGGGTCCAACCCCTGTTCCCCCCTTTCTCAGCCACGTTGGCCAGTGTAACACTTCTCCCTTTGCTTTTTGCTCCACAGACAAGGGAACGAGGACGAGCTGTAGGTGCAGGTAGGAGCTCCCTGCGCTGGGCAGCGATGCTCTGGGGTACTCGTGCTCCAGGGAAATAGTCTTGGGGGTCTGTCCGGGAGGAGAGGGGCTGGGGCACGCTGGCCATGTCCCCCTCGCTCTCCCCAGCTCCAGAGCTGCGGTGCCCCCATGGAAGCAGAGCTGCAGCCGAAGCCCAGCACTCCTGGCCAGCGGCCACCCCTGACCCCGCTCCAGTGGATCCATTACCCCGCAGGGCCAGAAGGCAAATTACCCTCGTGCTTCCCCTTCTCTTGGACCCATCGACAGTTCCTTGGCTAATAAAGTTCAGCTCTGAGAGGTTAAACTGCGTGCCCGAGGCGTTTGAATCGCCCACTCTCCTGGCCCGGCTCCAACCCCTTTTCTGCCCTGCAGACCCAGGAAAGGCTCCGGCAGCCCGGGGCACGGGGCAGCCGCCTCCGCCCTGGCTTTGCTCCGGTTGTTTCTTCTCCCAGCTGCGGGTTCTGGATCCTGCGGCACCTCCCTTTCCCTTGGGATGCGCAGGCAGCAGCTGGCAGCACTGCGGGGCTCTTTGTGTGCTCATGTCTGGCTGAGATGGGGTTAATTCTGACCCTGGCAGCCTGGCAGTGCTGGGCTGTGTGCTGGGATGGGGTTAATTCTCTCCCTGGCACCCTGGCAGTGCTGGGCTGTGTGCTGGGATGGGGTTAATTCTCT